CTTTATCCTTGCAATGAGGGAGGATAGAAGCGCTTGCGTAGATTGCAAGGTGATACCTGGGGAGTGTGTTGTCCCCCAGCATAAGCTGGTGGTTGCGGATTTTCGATTCCGAACACGTATCCACCGGGACAAAGTGCCAAGACCGTGAGAACGAAGTGGTGGAAGCTTAAAGGGGATGCGGCGCAGACGTTTAGGGATAGGATACTAGGTGAGGGGCCTTGGAAAGAAGGAGAAGATGCAGATGACATGTGGTTAAAGATGGCAACATGTGTACGGAAGGTGGCTGCAGAAGTACTTGGTGTGAGTAGGGGAGGCAAGCAGGAAGTGAAGGACACTTGGTGGTGGAATGACGAGGTGCAAATAGCTATTCAGGAGAAGAAGGAGTGTTTCAAGCACCTCCACCTTGACAAGAGTGCAACCAACATTGAGAGCTACAAAATAGCGAGAAGGGCTGCAAAGCGTACCGTGAGTGTAGCGAAGGGTCAGGCCTATGATGACCTTTATCAGTGCCTAGGCACGAAGGAGGGGGAGAAGGACATTTATAGGATGGCTAGGATTCGGGAGAGGAAGACAAGGGACATCAACCAAATCAAATGCATTAAGGATGGGTCGGATCGGCCACTGGTGAAAGATAGGGAGATCAAGGACGGATGGCGAGAGTACTTCGACAAATTGTTTAATAGGGAGAGTGAGGGTCCTACCCTGGAGTTGGATGACTCATTTGAGGGTACCAATAGACTTGTGGTGAGGAGAATTTGGGAGGCAGAGATCGGAAAGGCTATGAAGAGGATGAAGGAAGGTAAAACAATGGGCCCTGATGGTATCCTCATTGAGGTGTGGAGATGCTTGGGCGCCAGAGCGTTAGTATGGCTAACTAAACTTTTTAACCTTATTTTCCAGTCAAACAAGATGCCTGATGAATGGAGGAGAAGTACTTTAGTACCGATCTTCAAGAACAAGGGAGATGTTCAAAGCTGTGGTAACTACCGTGGGATTAAGTTGATGAGCCATACGATGAAGCTCTAGGAGAGGGTTATCGAGCATCGCCTACGACGAGTGACGAGTGTGACCCAAAATCAATTTGGGTTTATGCTTGGAAGGTCGACCATGGAGGCGATTTTCCTAATACGACAGTTGACAGAGAGATATAGGGACCAAAAGAAGGATTTGCACATGGTCTTTATCGACCTTGAGAAGGCTTATGACAGAGTACCGAGGAATGTCGTGTGGTGGGCCTTAGAAAAGCAAAAAGTCACATCTAAGTACATTACCCTCATCAAGGATATGTACAAAGGATGCGATGACGTGTGTCCGAACATGTGGGGGTGATACCAACGACTTCCCAATTAAAATAGGACTACACTAGGGGTCAGCATTGAGCCCTTATTTATTTGCCTTGGTGATGGATGAGGTCACAAGGGACATACAAGGAGATATCCCTTGGTGTATGCTCTTTGCTGATGATGTGGTGTTAGTTGACGAGAGTAGAGCAGGGGTAAATAGGAAGTTAGAACTGTGGAAGGACACGTTAGAGTCGAAAGGCTTCATACTTAGTAGGACGAAGACCGAGTACATGACGTGCGCTTTTAGCATGGCTGCACATGATGACGGTGACGTTAGCCTTGACAGGCAAGTGGTGACCAAGAAGGAGACTTTCCGGTATTTAGGATCGATGCTATAAAAGGATGGCGACATTGATGCTGATGTTAGGCATAGAATTGCAGCTGATTGGTTGAAATGGCGGCAAGCTTCGGGCGTGCTCTGTGATAAGAGGGTACCACAAAGGCTAAAAGGTAAGTTTTATAGGACGAAGATTTGCCCGGCGATGCTATACGGTGCTGAATGTTGGCCTACAAAAAGGCAACATGTCCAACAATTAAGTGTAGCAGAGATGCGTATGTTGCGTTGGTTCTGAGGGAACACAAGAAGGGATAGAATCCGGAATGAAGATATTCGAGATAGGGTTGGGGTGGCCCCAATTGAGGAGAAATTGGTTCAACATCGGCTGAGGTGGTTCGGACATGTCCAACGGAGGCCTCCTGATGCACCGGTGCGTAGGGGAGTTCTACAGCGGTTCGAGGACGTAAAGAGAGGTAGAGGTCGGCCTAAACTTACTTGGGAAGAGTCGGTTAAGAGAGACCTTAAAGATTAGAATATCTCCAAGGATTTAGTGGTGGATAGGAACGCTTGGAGGCCAGCAATCAACGTGCCAGGACCGTGACTTTTGCTCCTTTCTCTTTTGCTCCAAACTCTTCTTTTTGTTTTCAAGCCCTTTTTGTGTTTCTCTTACCGATGGTTCTCTTGGGTTTCATCTCTAGCCTACCCCGACTTGCTTGGGACTAAAGGCTATGTTGTTGTTGTTGTTGTTGTATTTAATAAGGGCGACGTGGCCATGACGTAGCCAACTTTCTTCCAAAAACAAAAAGTGATTTTGTCTTTATCTTTTTCACTTTGAAAGGAAACATATGCTGCGAGAGAAAAAAACTGAAAAAAAAGAAAACTTATGCAGAATTGTCTTATGGCTCATATTCATGAATCTTTGAAAAACCTTGTACTACTGAATACAGAAAAATTGGAATAAAAGTATGACTCATCTTGATTAACTTGGAGTACTCGTGTTTCCCGGCAGAGATGAGGCCGTGTTCCGGCGAAGATTAACCCGAACAAATTACGAGGTCCTTCCTCTAGCGCTAAACTGTTGACGTACGAAAATTTATCAACATGGGGTGTTCAGAATATTGTTTGAATTTGCTGTGTATATGAATTTTTGTTAAATAATTGTATGAAAAAATTGGAGAAAAATTGAAGNAAAGCCTCTTAAGCACATTCACACATACATTTTCTGGACTTTTCACATCTAACGGGCTTTAGCGTCTAATGGGCCCTTATATATTGGGCCTTTACAATATTTTACAAATACAAATGTAATCAATCAAATGAGACTGCGCAGGACCCAACAATAATAAATAATAGAATAAATAATGGCTTCGATCGATATTCATCTTGTTTGCAATTATTGTGTCTGTCGGGACGGCTCGGGGCGGTTTTTTATGATATCCGAGTTGGGCTGATGACGTTGAATTCTGCTTGGCTCGAATATGGACAATCTTGACTTTTGGGGGCTCATATTAATAAATATATTGAATAATCTGCTATTTTTATATTTATTTAATATATATATCCACGTGTAGCATTTTAATAGGCGAGGCCAAAATTTGATGTCAACAATGGTACAGATTACGTATACTCTTTTGCGACATTTCAAATTATTTATGGTACAGATTTTCTATGCAAAATTCGAATGAAATCCGGTTCCATCTGTAAAGGATTCTATTTATATTTTAATCGTTTATAAATTAGTGTTTTGGTTGGTTGATTGAGAAATTAGTTTCTAAATAAATCTGAAATACCATGTTTATCTGAAGATTATTTGTATAATTATTGGGGATATTTTCTTACAAAAAACGTTTGGCCGAGAAACTTTATTTCTCTTTCTAATTTATAATTAAAATATTATTTATAATCCATTAAATAAAATTTAATGTATTACTTTTTTTTTTCACAAATACATTGGGCTACTATATATAATCAAACAGACATCAAAATATTCTTTTATAAAAATTTCGTCCTTTGTAACTGATATGCATAAAATGACACAAATTAACATAAATGTAATCCGAAATTTTGATTTACATATTAGTTGACGAATTATAAATCCACCATTCAAATTTACATAGTAATAAAGAACAAACTTATTTAATTCAGTTACCATATGAACGATCGAATGATAAATATAAATCTACATCAATCACTTTTAGTTGGGCTTCTTTATTTGACAACAACAGTACAATAATTATTCCACATATTAGCCAAATGTTGGATTAAGGATCCAACAATTAACTCTCTTTATTATAATTAAAAGAGTTGGAGAAGTAATAACAACAATAGAACTATGCACCAAGTGTTGGTGTTGGTTTCGGCCACATGCACGCGCGCGACCCCTCGCCGGTTGGCCGGCCGACTCGGCTCGGCTTGGCTCAGGCTCGGGCTCGGGCCTAGGACTTGGGCCTTGGGCCTTGGTCCTTGGTACTTGGTACTTCGACTGTGGGCTGGATTTGGGCAGCCTTGATCGGTGTTGGGCTTGGGCCCAACCCCTGTAATCTTTTTACTGCTAATATATTGCAATTACGAAGCCTAAGATAAAATCGAAACCGAGTCGTGGACTCGGGTTTTGACCCAACCCTTATGAGACCTTCCAGGTACATTGGACCTGGACGTGCGACCTTCCACATGACCGTTTCAGCGTTTATTAGGTGGATTGATTGTGTGTTAACAACTGAAAACGGAATGCTTTCCACCAGACCGTTTTTATGCCCACTTACAGCAGTCATTAGGTGGCTCTTTCATGCCTTAAGTGGTTGAAGACCAAAGACCATCCCCCACTGGCTGGGGGTTCTATATATAGGATACGTTTAGAGTTGCAGGAGTACACTTATATCATTTCATCTGCATCCTTGCACTATCATCGCCTCACGCATATACATACTGCTCAAATCCTGTACTTCATTCAAGTTCTCCGGAGCTCGAAAGTTGGAGTGATACAGCCTTTCTAGACGTCAATCGTTGTATCTTTAGGGACAAAATGTACAGACCTGTTAACACTACACAGAACGTATTTTGTCTTGCGGAAAGATTATAATTGCCTCGACTTTAATATATCCAAAATTAAGTTGTACCTATATTTTCTGTTTTATAGTTCACACTGTAAGAACTGAAAAAGAACTGAAAATATAAGTTTCAATTTATAGGTTTCCGTGTATTCGAAACAATCATTTTGTAGCAGATACTAAATCATAATTACGTACATATGACTTTCCTAGTTCAATTTTTTAATTTTTTATAATTAATTCGAATATGATGGATTATGTTGTATCCATCAAGTTGTATTGTTAAATTGGCCCGAATATTTTTTTTTTCCCTTTTGATTTTGTATTTAGTAGTGCACCACTCAATGGTCCTATCGTATGTGGCATGCCACGCTGAAATGCTACGAAACACGCGTCCGTCCTGATGAAAGAAAAGAAGGAACGTGTTTACGTTGGAAAAAACTATATTTTATTACTACAATAAATATTTTTAATTTCTCCGACAAAGACCATTTTTCCCAAATCACTTTCACCGCAGGCCCATATAAACAACAGGTAGTTCACACGGTGCCCAAATATTTAAGATGATGTACTGGAAAGCACCAAGGTGATTGCAAAAGTGTTTTAGATAATTCTTTATCTATTAACAATATTTTGTTATACACTTTTTGAAATGTAATCAATTATATGTAAACGAGTTTAATGGATAAACGTATACTTACGAAACCAAATGATAACTTCCAAATTTTAAACACTAATTTAATCACAAATATGTTTGTGAAACATGGTAATAGTTAGACCGGTTGACTTATATAATTTTACTAGTACGATACTCGTGTACTACACGGATACTTAAATATATTAATATTTGTACAATAAAAAATTTAAATTATTTATATTTTTCTTGTAAATTTATGTATAATGAACATACAACAATTAACAAAGTGATAATTAATTCAATATGGCGCCGCATTTTTTTATTAAATTTGTTAAAAATAGTAATTTTTAATTATATTTTTAAAATTATATATGTGTAAAACAAATATTATTTACAACTCCATATATCTAATTTGAAATATTTTAAAACAAAAAAGTTTTATTGTATTGTGATTATATTTAATCTTTATAGAGTCGGTGTCTCTCGTTTGTTAATTTTTCAAGTTTCTTAAATTTACATAATATTATAATTTAGAATATTAATTTATGAAGAAATATATTATTTTATAAATTTATGAGATGTAAAATTATTTTATTATAGTTAATTATGATATCCCTTTATATTTATTATTTTAAACAACATAATAACATTTAGTACTTATATAATATATTTAATAGAAAAACAATATTTTATATATTTCTTATAATTTGTTTTATGTAATACTTAATTTCTAATTTTGCCCAAAATCTATGAAAAAAACACATTAAATTAATTATTTTAGGGTGTATTGATGAATTATATTTTTATTAGTTTTATAAAATAATTTATATTTATAGTTTATATTTTATAACTTTATTTCATAATAAAACTATATTTTTTTTTATAAAGATAGGTGGAATAATTTTATAGGATGTCAAATTTAATATCATTAAAATAAGATTATTTTAATATATCATAAAAATAAAATGCAAATAAAAATTTTATAAAGGTTTATATATAAACGAGAACACTAATTCACGATAATTAATATATAAATTAAATAAGGAATATAAGAATGGTATGTGGTAGCTTAAAAAAAAAGTTAAATAGCAAGTTAAAGCCAAACCTATACATTTGTCAATACGACTTACGAAACACACGAGTCTGCCACTTAGGCTCAACGCATTCAATAATTATATATAAGGGTAATACCAAAATCCCCTCTATATATAATTTTCGAATGTGTTGGCCTAAATCAGATTCGTACGATTCAGGATCCTATGTGGAAAGTTTTTAAGCTTAATTTGTTATTTGACTTGGATGAATTTTTAATTTATTTCCAATCCAAAAGTAATTAGACTTAGAATATTCATAAATATACCGGATGTTATGGTCTTTTTTAAAAGGATTAATTATGTTTTAATATCATTTCCTATTCTAGACGTGGTTATATGGTATTAATTTTTTTCCCAATCTTTATTTTTTTTCTCATAGTTCTTATAAAATTATAACAAATTTACTAACTTAAATTATAAACATATTTAAAAGTTATTAAATTTTAGATTTATTAACAATTTTTATATATAATATATCAAATTAATTATGTCTTGATGAGTTTCGATTTACATCTATATGATACATACAAAATAAATAAACAATTTTATTATCTTTATAATTAAAATCAAATTACCAATTAATATTAATTTGAAAAAATTAAATTATTTAAACAAACTTAACTACAAAGTAGTTATCTGATATAAATAAAAAAATATATATAATATAAGATGGTAAGTCATATAAGTGATGGTGTCATTTTAATTATAAATAACAATTTACTTTTTTAAAAAGGTACTTAAAAACTAAAATATTTTTTGTTTTTATTATTATTATTATTATTTAATTTAATTATAATTTTCTTAACAAGTATCCATGTATTACACAAATATATTATACTAGTTTCTTATATTATGAAAAATCATATTCTTATTTACGATGTCTAATTTGTAGAGTGTGATATTCAGTTTAAAATTATACATATCTGTTAAAAAAATATGAATATCTAATTGTAGCCTTGTAATTTAACTTCTCCAACCGAACAGTTGTATAAAAATAACCTCGTATCTACCCTTTACCAAGTATAATCTACTTGTTTCTTCGGCTCAAAATCTCTAATTTTCCACACATGCGTTTACCTGAATAAACGTGTGCCAACATATGATTACAATCGTACTTAGTTAATTGGTCCTGACTAACAAGAGTTGAACTAAATATGTTTATTATCCAACTTCCATTCGTTGGACATGTTCAGAATATCATATTTTAGCTGATAATTAAATTACGCAGCCAATCAAATAGATTCTTGAAATCTTCGTTTTCTGACTTTGGTATAGTTGCTCGACACTATAAATAATAGAATAGATTGATTTCCAACTCACACAAAACCTCACACATAAAGTAGCACTTCCTAAAAAAAAAAACTATATTTTTCCTTAATAGAACTTATTTGCTTTAATTGCAAAATAATTGAAAAAAGTACTGGGAGGGATTGGTACTTCAGATTTTTGATTGTGCCATACACATTTATTTTTTTTATTTTTTATTTTTTTTTTGGGTTTTCACCCAATCCCTAATTTGCTATCTATATATAGAAGAATAAGTTGTCATTTCAACTACTTATAAGTTTAACTTCTTTGGGAAAAAAGAATTTTGTTCCAAGAATGGCGAAATTTTCCCGTATATGTATGATATTAATCATTGTTCTTCTTGTACTTGTTCCCAAATCCAATTGCAGGCACATAAATAGTACTCCTGCAAGTGAAGTATCTGAGCAAAGAATAAGGGCCAAATTCAATTCCTTTTTCTTGAAGCACTTTAAGACAACATATGCATATTTGGAGAAGAACAAAAATCCCAAAAAAATGCATGCCGTCATTCGCAGGACTGTTCCTACAGGGCCTAATCCTCTCCATCATTAATTTCTGTTTAATATAAATAATCGAATAAACTTGTCTCTTGTTTGTGCTGTCTTTCTTTTTTTTTAAAAAGAAAAAACAGTTTGATTAAAATATATTTGTATTTTTTGTGCCCAAAAAAATAAATATATATTTGTATTAATTCTTCATGTAATTGAGATTGTTATGTCATGTATATGTTTCTTAGCTGTGATAATATTTGAATGCAAAAAAAATAATATTTATATATCTATTGTTGCATTCTCGACTTTTTTCATTATTTGAATACTGTAATTTCGCTATCTAAATTTCGTATCATTAGTGCATGTATCAGGTGTGTTTATCTTTTATTATTATTTTTTTATTTTTTTTTTTTCCAAAACGATAGATTATATTATAAATAAAAATGTACAAATGTGCGAATACACAACAGCCAACGACTGAATACACAACAGTCAACAGCTGAAAAAAGTGGGAGGACACATCAGAAGACCGCCTAGAGTCCCGAGTAGCAACGCTAGAACAAAACTCGCAACTAAACAGACCCCAACAGAGTAATACCTGAGTGTCGGATCCCAATGGAATAATAAGGTGACACTCGGGTTCACAGAGGCCAAATGGCCCAGACCAAAACCACAATCCTAGACTACACAAGAACACAAACACAGAAGAACAATCCTAAAATAAACCTAATAAAAAACACACAAAGCCTTTCCCCGAGATAACCATACCTAGCCGGCGAAATCAGGACCAATCACCCAATAGCTTGACCCGAAAGTTGGAACACCACTCCCGCCACTGCCTAATGCCTAGCAAGGACGAGTCCCAAGCCCCGAAACACTCCACGGATGAAGGCGACTCACAGCCCAAAGAGGATCAATCAGCCCCCCCTCCACTGACCCGCTTCCCAAGACCCGACCGAACACCACTTGGTCAAAATCCGGGCTAGTCGAGGCGTCCAACTCCACAACTCCGGCAGAGTGGACCCAGGGGCTCAAATCAACCCACCTCAATCCCAGCCGACTCGTCACAGACGAGCCAAGCCACATGGATCGCACCCAACCCCAACCGCACTCACTCACCTCCTTGAAACAACCCACCATGAACCAAGCGCCCAGCAGACGAGCTCTCACCGGGGACCGAGCAGAACGGGAGCCAACCGACAGCCAGCCACCATAGCCACGACGCGGAGAACCCGCAAACAGAACCATCACCAGCGAGATGGAGAGACTTGCCAACGGCTTGGGAAGAGAAACCCCATCGGCGCAGAAGCATTGGCGAGGGAGAAATTGGGGCGGGATTAAGCAGTTATAGGCCATCCGCCGGCGAAAAGGCCGGCTAATCGCCGGAAAAGGCGCACGGTGAATGGGATTTGATGAGCAGAGGCGAGAGTTGGTCTGGGAAAGAAAGGGGATCTCGCGATAGATATGTAAATTCTGGGTGCTTATCTTGAAATGGAGAAGTTGGTTTTCGAGTTATTTTAGAGTCATCTTGTTACAAAATGTGTAAACAAGAAAACTAGTGAACTATAAACGACGCTTGTAAAACTAACATAAAAAATGAATTGAAATCGAATTAATTATTGTAGGAAACGATTTATGATTGTGGGAAGAGGTACAATTGACCATGTACTATTTCATCTCCAAACACCTTGGAAAATCGCAATAATCCCTAATCGTAGATGGAATTTAGTTCATGCTTGGATCAATATTCAAGCTAAATAAATAGGAGACATTCATTATTAACTCAACACAAAAAATTAAAAAAAAAGGCTAACAAATTGAAGTCACTAAAAAAAAACCTAATTTCTCAATTTCTCTCTTCTGCCCGCGACCTCGACCCTCATTTCCGGCGTGCCTATTCGCCTTCGGCGGCTTGCCTCCCTCCAGTGGAAGCCAAGGCCCGAGGAGGTGCTAGCGCGGGTCGTTGTTTGTCCTATTTTTGTTGCGTTTTTCGTGTTTATTTTATCTTTCTTTTTCTCCCGTTTTAGGTCGTTTCTTTAGTTTTTAGTCCGTTTCGTGTTTTATTATGTGTTTTCCTTCATTTTGAGTCTTTAGGTATTTTTTCGTTTGTTTTCCCGGTTTTCTTCGTGTTTTGTCGTTTTTGGTGTGTAGGTCGGGAGCTTCGGGCGAATTTTATCTTCAGAAAAAGTTGATTTCGAGAGCACAATTGGATAGATGGGCTCGTCAGCGACGCGTAGCAAAACACGGAACTCAATTCCGAGTTCGGACGAGCCCAAACGAGCCCGAAACGTAAAATGGCGCAGTGCAGTCCAAAGTCGCGACTCGCGAGAAAAGTCACGGCTCGCGAGCCTACGTCGCGACTCGCGAGAGCAAAGTCGTGACTCGCGACTTTAACAGAGCCTCCGACCAGCTGCGCAACCCCACGACCCGTCAGACTCGCGACTCGCGAGTCAACTCGCGAGTCGCGACCTGTTCGACCCTGTTTTTATTTTTCTCCGTTTTTACTCGTTTTAGTTCCGTTTTTCGAGCACTATATATCAAAACGATCCCCCAGACCTAAGGAACAATCTCCAATATCGTTCCTTTCAATTTTTCTCTCCAAAAACTCAATATTGTTAGGATAAATTTCTCCGCTTTTCTTTTTTTTTTCTCTCATGCTTGGATTGTTGGACACAAAGTTATTTGGATTGAAATCTTGCAACTCTTAATCCGATTATAAGTTTTTCAATTCTATTTTATTATTGTTGATTGGTTTTATGTTCTTAATTCCGGTTAACATGAAATTGAATCTAAGCATGAGGTAATCCATTCACCTAGGGTTAGGGATTTGTTTTGTTCAATCTATACGAGTTGTGTGAATTATATGGTTAGTTGATTGATCACCATTCTAACCTAGTTAATCGACGTTTAGAACCGAGAGGGGAGACGTCGGTCGATTTAGGCTCGTATAGAGTAAACATGTTCGTAAAAGTATTGTGTATGTGTTGCTTGTTTGAATGAATTTATCGTTTATGTTTGTGCTCTTGTTACGAAGAGTTATTGAGCATAGCCCTCTAGACGTGTAGGCTTGTTTAATCTCGTAACCGAACAAATAAGCGTTCAACATAGTTTAAGACTTGATGAGATTTCCCGACCCCTAGACCTTCTTCTTTTTCTCTAGAAATTTAATTGTTATTTCTTTAAATTGTTTTTCTAGTTCTAGATTGTTTTAGTTGATTCCCCAAATCAATCGTGATTAGAGTGTTTAGTACTTATTTTCTTTTCGTGTGTGATCAAGACCAACGCTAAATTCCGAACAGTCTTCCTCGATAGATCGACTTGGGTAACGAATCCTTCGATTCGGTACACGGTAAAAAAATAAAATAATTTGCTACAACAAATTTGGTGTCGTTGCCGGGGAAGGCAAGTAGGATATTTGGTTCTGGTGTTGATTTTATTTTCTGTGTTTCTCTTTATTTTGTGTTTTTCGTGTTCGTGTCCTTTGTTTGCATCTTTGTTTTTCTTTTTGTTTCTGTTTTAGTTTTCTTCCTTTTCCCCTTTCTTTTCGTGGCTACGTGTGGTTGTTCTATTTTGGTGTGTAGGAGATATGAACTTCAACCGTACTTTTCCCTATCCGCACACCCAACCTTGGGGTTACGAGCCGAGCTATCACGCCGGGTATCACAACCAATCATATTCATATTCTTCCGAGCAGTACTGGGATCCCTATACAGTCGAGCACGCTTATGAGTCCCACGAGTTCAACGAGAAGCTCGACCGTATCTATGAATTCGCGTCATCCCGGTTAGCTCAGGATGAAGAGACCGCAACCTGGTGTACCCATCCGCATCAGTCACCTCCATACCACGATTCTTGGGACTATGGCCAGACTTGGTCATATCCTTACGAGCAGCAGTGGGAGTCTGTACCTGTTGAGCAGTCATGTGAGCCCCTCGAAGATTCCTCAGAGTACAATGCCAAGCTCGACCAGGCCCTCGCTCTTTTAGCCTCCCAAGCGGCCCGTAGGAGCAATATTGAGTCCAGAATCGAGAATCTTGTGGAGCGCGTGCACGCCTTAGAGGATCGAGTTAACAATGTCACTCCCGAGCCCACCGCTCAAGGCGAATCTATACATAGAGATGAACCTCGGGAGGCTGCTTTGACATACGATGAAAAGCTCGACCTCATCCTTGCTCGCATATCTGCCCAGACCACTCAAGATGTGGAGATTGAGCTCAGATGTGCTCGACTGGGCACACAAACGGAGATTCTTACAGCACACATCGACTCAATTGAGGCACAAGTCGCCGACCCCCACTTTATGCTTGATACTCAAGCCCGTATGTTGAAGCAAATGTGTGAGGCCGAAGAAGAATATGATGAGCTCCATCCAGACGTTGATGATATTTCAGAAGAGGAGATCCATGGGCTTGATTCTCAAGTCCCACCTCCCACCTCCGAGTTGGAGCATCCTTCTTCGAGGCCGTTGCACTGTGTTACGAAGTGGGGAGCATTCAGTTCGACTTGCTCCACAGATATCCTTATAGTCCCGGAGGTTGTCGACAGAGCTCGCGTGGGAAAAGCTCTGTGTCTAGAATTGGGGATTTCTTGTGCCCGAACCCGGTTCACCAAGAACATAGCCACCCGGATCCACCGTGCCAGCCTTATCGCCAATCTTCCCATGCTACCACTTCTGGAAAACATGAAGGCATAGCACGATCGCCACTTCTTTCTGGATCCTGGCTGATTTGTACCCAGGTTTCGTCAAGCTAATGACGTTAAACAAGCGCTTCTTGGGAGGCAACCCAAGTGATTTATCGTTTTCTTAGTTATTTTCTTTTTGCTTTTTTTGGTTTTATCTTTGAATAATAAGAGTTTTGGAGTTTTGTGTTTTTCTTGGCAGGACGTGTCGCGGTTCTGGGTTAAGCATGGGCGAAAGGCATGCATGGGAATGCTTACTACACTCGAAGCATCTTCGGTTTGCGTACTCTTTTCTCTTTTTATCTTATTGTGTTTCTTCTTCTTTCTGTCCTTTCTTCTGAGTTTGGTGTTCTTGTGTTAGCTGCTAGGGTTGGTTCATTA